CCCAAGAGTTTGAGGTCGCTGTGAGCTGTGACACCACGGCCACAGCACTCTACTGAGGGTGATAAAGTGAGACTCTGTCTCTCAAAAAAAAAAAAAGAAAGAAAAGAAAGCAGAGGGTGGCGCCTGTGGCTCAAAGGAGTAGGGTGCTGGCCCCATATACCGAGGGTGGCAGATTCCAACCTAGCCCCGGCCAAACTGCAATAAAAAATAGCCGGACTTTGTGGCGGGCACCTGTAGTCCCAGTTACTGGGGAGGCTGAGGCAAGAGAATTGCCTGAGCCCAGGAGTTGGAGGTTGCTGTGAGCTGTGACACCAAGGCACTCTATCAAGCGCGATAAAGTGAAACTCTGTCTCTAAAAAAAAAAGAAAGAAAAAGGACGATGCCTGTGGCTCAAAGGAGTAGGGTGCCAGCCCCATATGCCAGAGGTGGCTGGTTCAAACCCAGCCCCAGCCAAAAAAGTTAAAAAAGAAAAAAAGAAAATTCCTTCTCTCCCCCTCTTTTTTTGTAATTTATTGAAGAAACCAAGATTAATTGCCTAGTAGAATGTTCTATCTCTTTTTCTCATTGCTTCTTCAAGGAGTCACGTAACTTACTCCTTTGTCTCCTTCACTTCCTAAGATTTAGGAGTTGGACGGTGACTTGGTGAGATCTACGTCACATGTGTTTGGTATGAACACTGTGCTGGTGATCACATCAGAATGGTTCAGGAAGTGGCAACCTGACCCATCCTGTGAATGAATATTCAGTTTTGCAACAGCATTCGGCCTAATGGCTTTAGGATCCATTGATATTTGTTGCCTGAATCAACAGCATTGCAGGCATGCCCCCTTGCATCCAGCCAGATTTATTTATTTAAGACAGAGTCCCCCTCTTTTTTTTTTTTAATTTTTGTATTAAATCATAACAGTGTACATTAATACTATCATGGGGTACAGTGTACTGTTTCTCTATACAATTTGAAGTACTTTCATCCAACTGGTTAGCATAGCCTTCATGTCTTTTTCTTAGTTATTGTGTTAAGACATTTATATTCTACATTTAGAGAGATTCACATGTACCCTTATCCCCCTCTGTTGTCCAAGTTAGAGTGCTGTGGCTTCAGTCTAGCTCAAAGCAACCTCAAACTCCTAGGCTCAAGCCATCCCCCTGCCTCAGCCTCCTGAGTAGCTGGGGCTACAGGCTTCTAGCCTGGCTGGTTTTTCCTATTTTTAGTAGGGACAGGGTCTTACTCTTGCTCAAACTGATCTTGAACTCCTGAGCTCAGGCAGTCTACCTCAGCCTGGCCCAGATTTTATTGTTAAATGAGGTGAGAAATGCCAGAACACATTTGTACACAAATGGAAATACCCCTGTAGGAAGAGAACTGGGCCAGGCCTATAATCCTAGCACTCTGGGAGGTTGAGGTGGATGGATTGCCTGAGCTTATGGGTTCAAGACCAGCCCCAACAAGAGCAAGACCTTGTCTCTAAAAATAGCTGGGTGTTGTGGCAGGCACCTGTAGTCCCAGGTACTTAGGAGGCTGAGGCAAGAGAATTGCTTGAGGCTCGGCGCCTGTGGCTCAAGCGGCTAAGGCGCCAGCCACGTACACCTAAGGTGGCGGGTTCGATTCCCCAGCCCGGACCCGCCGAACAACAATGACGGCTGCAACCAAAATCTGGCCAGGCGTTGTGGCGGGCGCCTGTGGTCCCAGCTACTTGGGAGGCAGAGGCAGGAGACTCGCTTGAGCCCAGGAGTTGGAGGTTGCTGTGAGCACGATGCCATGGCACTCTACCCAGGGGGATAGCTTGAGGCTCCGTCTCCAAAAAAAAAAAAAAAAAAGAGAATTGCTTGAGCCCAAGAGTTTGAGATTGTTGTAAGCTATAACGCCACAGCACTCTATCAAGAGTGACAAAGTGAAACTCTTGATAAAAATAAAGAGAACTGGAAGGCTGGCTTCCTGTAATCCTAGCACTCTGGGAAGCTGAGGACGATAGATTGCCTGAGCTCACAGGTTTGAAACCAGCCTGAGCCAGAGCGCGATCCTGTCTCTAAAAATATTGGGGCTTTGTCGGCATCTGTAGTCTCAGCTACTTGGGAGGCTGAGGCAAGAGGATCACTTAAGCAACAAGAGTTTGAGGTTGCTGTGAGCTGTGATGCCATGACACTTTACCAAGGGCAACAAAGTGAGACTCTGTCTCAAAAAATTAATTAATTAATTAATATAAAAAAAAAAGAAGAAGATAGAACTGTATGATGCAGAGACCAGGTTGGGGTGAGCTGGCCAGCATCTGATAAGAACAGGCCATCTGTCCTCAACAGTGCGAGGAAGGGAGGTCAAGAGAGTGGGAGCAGAGGTGGCGAGGTGGCATCTGGTGGAGGAGGGGGAGAAGGGAGCTACTCTCTGACTTTCTTCTATCTCCCTAATGTAAACTGAGGGGAGGTCATCAGCTGACTGTGGGAAGGTAGCAATGGCATGTGGAGGTTTGAGGAAAAAGTATGAGAGAATGATTTCATTGCCTGCCTATGTCCATCTCGGTGTTCTTTGAGTCTGTTGTCTTGGCAGCCTGTCATTGAGCCCTCAGTGAGCAGCTGCTGTGGGGTGCCAGGAGGCACACTCTGGTGTAGGGATCTGGTGTCCCCCTCCCTGTGGGTCTCTGAAGCTGAAGAGTCCATTTGGGACTGGGTGAGAAGTGAAGCCAACTTTATTTTTTTGCTTTTTCATTCATTCATTCACCAAATATTTATTGTTCATCTGCCAAGTACCAAGAACCACATAGCCTCTTGGGATGCATCAGCAAACCTGATGAAAATCCCTGTGCTCATGCTCGGGGAGCCCATGCCTGAGCTCTGGCTCTTCTCTCTACCTGGCTAACTCTCCCTAGATGCCAGAGAAACCCTGGCTTGGGGCAGCTCCTGTCACTGAGCATGTCCCCCTATCCCCTGTCCCCTGCAGGACTACGAGAAAGCCCTATTCTTCCCCTGCAAGGCTGCAGAGCTCGTCAATGACTACGGCAAGGGCTGGAGCCTCAAGTACCGGGCCATGAGCCAGTACCACATGGCGGTGGCCTATCGCCTCCTGGGGCACTTGGGCAGTGCCATGGAGTGTTGTGAGGTGGGGAAGAAGGGAAGGTGGCAGGTGGAGGCGGTGGGCCCCAGGAGATCAGGGCCTCCTTCTTTCAGCCCTCTGAGGGGCCAAAGGCTCACTCCTGGCCCAGCCTCTCTACAGCTGAGCCCTTGAAGGATATGTTTGTCCCCCTCAGCCCCATCCAAGTCCCATTCTCTTCTAGTCCATCCTTAAGGGACAGGTCCTCTCTCTGTCCCTAGCACTCTCTGTGAGGCCCTGTGAAGATAGAGAAGGCAGAGAGCCGGTCTCTGGAGTTCCACTGACCTGGGTTCATGTCCCAGCTTTGCCACTTCCTGGGTGACTTCATTCAAGTCACTTTTCTCTGAGCCTCATTTCCACCTGTCAAATGACAATAACCACTTCACCAGGTGCTATGACCACGGTTAGTTTCGTATGTGAGACCTCAACCTTATGATGGAAGTATTAGGCTCTCCCTGGACTATCCCCTCAGAGGGGCCCACTGGGTGGAGGGTGCCCCAGTGGTGGGGACAGATGGGCAGCCCCAAGTGATTGGCGACCCTTGTAGGAGTCCATGAAGATTGCACTGCAGCATGGAGACCGGCCACTGCAGGCACTGTGCCTGCTCTGCTTTGCTGACATCCACCGGAGCCGTGGGGACCTGGAGGTGAGGTCATAGGGATAGAGGGATGGGGCTGGGGCACAGGCCTGGCCCAGCCTGATTGATACCCCTCCTGGCTCTTCAGACGGCCTTCCCCAGGTATGACTCTGCCATGAGCATCATGACTGAGATTGGAAATCGCCTGGGGCAGGTGCAGGTGCTGCTGGGTGTGGCCAAGTGCTGGGTGGCCAGGAAGGCACTGGACAAGGTGAGATTGGGCCCTTGCTTTCAGCCCCAGCTCTCCTGTGCTTTCTCTTGGGGCCAGTAGGTCAGCTGACATTCTATGGGTCTGGTGATGGGCAGGGCCTCTCAACCACTTTGTCTGATTTAACCTTCACCCTGGTCCTGTGAAGGCAGGACATTCCTGGCCATTTTCCATGACTTGCCAAGGGACCCGCAGCTAGTAAAAGGCCTGAGCTGGGGTTCAAACCCAGGACACTGAGCAAAGTGAAGCAGGAGTTCACCTACCCACACAGCCGTGTCTCTTCCTGCCACCTTCATACACAGGGAAGCTGCTCTGGCCCATGTCCCCTCCCCAGCCCCACCTTCCCTACCCTGTCCTTTTCTACCAGCCAAGGCCTCTGTCAGACAGATCTGCCCACAGCCCTGGCCTGTGCTCACCTTCCAGGCTCTGGATGCCATCGAGAGAGCCCAGGACCTGGCCGAGGAGGTGGGAAATAAGGTCAGACCTGCTTCTTCTGTCTCCTGGGTCTAGGGTCAAGAACACAAGGGGGGACTGGGGCTGGGGGAAGGCCCCCCTCAAGCCTGTTCAAGCCCTATACCCTTCCTTATCTTCTGGGAGCTTTCAGGAGCCATCCTTGGTCCACCTAGAGAGCACTTCTAAGGGCAGGGCAGGAATTTCATAGCTCAGAGGATAGCATCTATCTGCTATCTTCTTGATGTTCATTAGAAACTCCTCACAGTGGCCTCATGCGCTGGGCACACACAGGCTCCTTATAGGTACCAGTTCTAATCCTCACCTCCTCCCCTCAAAGTGGGTAGAAAGAGCCCATTTGGGCTTGGTGCCTATAGCACAGTGGTTATGGCACCAGCCACATACACCAAAGTTGACGGGTTTAAACCTGGCCCCAGCCAACTAACCAACAACAACTGCAACAAAAATTAGCCAGGCATGTGGCAGGCACATATATTCCCAGCTACTTGGGAGATTGAGGCAAGAGAATCGCTTGAGCCCAAGAGTTTAAGGTTGTTGTGAGCTATGATCCCATGGCCCTCTACTGAGGGCAACTTAATGAGACTCTGTCTCAAAAAAAAAAAGAGGGCAGTGCCTGTGGCTCAAAAGGGTAGGGCGCTGGCCCCATATGCCGGAGGTGGCAGGTTCAAACCCAGCCCTGGCCAAAAAAAAAAAGAAAAGAAAAAGATCCCCATTTTATAGATGGGAAAAGTGAGACTCAGAGAGGTGCTCAGGGTTTCACACCTACTAACTGTTCTGTCTTGATTCCAAATCTTTTCCTTCCATACTAATGTGGCCTCTCTAAATTTAATAACTGTATCCAAACCTTAAAATGTTGAAGACAGGCTCAGCCATTTCCCAGTGTCTTCTAGAAGATGTGCACTTCTCTGGGATCAGAAAGTAACCAAAATGCCAAATATATTTGCTTTGGGCTAGATTGTAGCCACTCAGGTTTGCTCAGGTTTCAGGCTGATCAGAAATGCTGACAAGCAATTGTGTGTGTGTTTAATTGATCAAAACAAGAAAGGTGAACGGTCACAGTGGCTTATACCTGTAATCCTAGCCCTCTGGGAGGCCGAGAAAGGAGAATCTCGTGAGCTCAGGAGTTTGAGACCAGTCTGAGCCCTGAGAAAGGATGAGAACTTGTCTCTAAAAAAAAAAAAAAAAA